TTGACCCTATCCTTCGATATCGTCATAATGGTACCTGATATTGTTAATGTTTGGTAGTTAGATGTCAACACACTGAGTAAAGATGTGAGCAGAAACTAATACTCGGATGAGATACTAACCAGAGAGGTGCTGCACACATTGGAAGAAAAAACTACAGCAAAATTAGGCTAATAACATTTCAGTTCTAAACTTACCCCATACTTTTAATATCGTCCTATATTAGAGGTCGAGATGAAGGATTAAAGGCTTAAGTATCAGATATATTTCTGTTGGTGAAAAGACTAACCATCATTAAGAATTGCAATGATAAGCACCATGAAAGGCGGAAAGTCAAACTGCCATATCAGAGCCAGAAGCATAAAACCAAGCTGTGACATTGAATTAAAGAAAAGGGTGAAAAGAGTACAAGATGCATTTGACCCTGAAACATAAGATAGACATGATAAAAGAATGAAGCAGTTGCAAATAACTTACCACAATACGGATTGTGATAGAAACGGCATATATCTGTCAATGCATAATATACATAATCAGATGAGTTATCCATATCATAGCTCAGAGACAGATTAAGATAAGAATTCAAGTCATTGTCTGTAAAATAACAATTTTATATTACACTTATGAACCAATCCCAAAAAGAAAAAAAGAATACCGTGTAGTTTTTCATCCTTTGAAAGATTGCTCGACTGGTCAAAACAGCACTAATGATGACACTAAGACCAGGTTCAGTAAGGACAATATCAGAAGCACTACGAGCCGCATCAGTGGCATCATCAACAGCAATCCCAATATCAGCTTTTTTTAGAGCAGGAGCATCATTGACTCCATCACCAGTCATACCACAGATATGCTTCCTAGCTTGCAAGCGCTTTACAATCTCATATTTGTGCTCTATAGTAATGACCAAGACAAGGTATCAGTAAAGGCCAATCGTCCTTTATAACCAAAGTTTTATACTGAAGAGCACAACTACATATGCAAAAGAGTTAATCAAAAAACAATGTACCAGGGAAAACACCAGCAAAACCATCAGCCTTCTCTATAAGTTCATCAACTGGCAAAGCAGAGATAGATTCATCCTTAGTCTGTCCCAATAGAGCAGATGACGGATACATATTTGTACCCATACCCAGACGGCGCCCAGTTTCTTTTCCAATTGCCAGTTGATCCCCTGGAAAAGTACAAACACTAAGCAATATAGAAAAATACAGGTTGATGATCAAAACTATTAGTGTTCAAAGTTCAACAATGAGAGGTTGGAGATTTCTTATTAACATATTAAAATGAAACGGCAAGACACAGGCAATTACAGCGTCAAGCAGCCACATGACAAAGTAGTGCCTCGGATGGAAATTACTCCATCAATCCAACTCTTACTCATTGTCCTCACTCCTCAGCCAAAACAGAATATAGTAAAAAAGAAAAGAAAAAGTACAGCAACTTCAGCATTTACCTTTCCCAGGGCAGAATCAAGAGTAGTATCTATAGATCCAACTCTGTCAATCATGCTGTCCAACCAAGGGTTCAGGGCAGAGTTCATTACCATTTTAATTTAGTGACAATTAGGAAATCTCATCTCATCTCATCCAATACACCATTTCCTCTAACTCTCTTTCTGGCCCCAAGGAGCGGCAGTAAGAATCCATACCAGTCAATACCAGTCACCAACACGGTATGCATTCAATTTGCAGAAAACATCTCAACATATTGAATGGGATAGTCTAAACTGAGAAACCATATAATACCTGTGATCATTTTGACATTCACTCCAAGGTTTAAAGCCCTCCTTATAGTCTCAGCACTGTCGTGCCTAGGTGGATCAAACAAAGGTAGGAGAGCAATGAACTGCCATGGTCCCCCAGCGCTCTCCTTTCTTCCCTCTGGAACTTCCTGCACGGATCTCGGAAGACATGCATAATCAAACAGATAAAACTTTTTGTTTGCAACAAGAATAGGACTTGGGCATAAAGAGAATTGATCACTACTCTCCTTTGCTGGAGGCACTAGGTTATAAACCAAAGCTGTGGATTTGGTCTATTCAACTTATATATAACATGATAAGTTCTGGACAGAAGAAAATGAAAATACCTGATATGCCACAGCAAGCGAGCGCAAACCCCGCTCAGCAAACTTATCAATCACTGCATGAACTCTACGTTCTATATCTGACTTGTTGTGTGCAAGATGTAGAATCTGAATACATATTGCAGCTGTGGATTAGAAAATGCAAACAAAGGTAAAAACTTGCAAAGGAGGACTGCAAAGTGTGATAACCAAAGTACCTGTTCCGGTGCACCTTTGCTGACCCTATGCATTTTTCCTTCACCATCAAGATAAGTAAGTGCTGTCCGTTTATCAGTTGGATTGAAAGGAAGGAAGTGTATTTCACGAATGCCAGCACGTGCCTATATTTATGGCAAACCTTAGAGCAATCTCCCGGCTAGGGTGTACACATTAATCGGAAAGTCACACGGCGCTAAAAATTACCTCCTTTGGATCAGCCAACATCCCAACAATAGCGGCATCAATGGCATCCTGGTTCTCTGTTCGAGAGGCTCGAGCTGCCATTAGAACTACAGTGTCTGCATCAACATCTCTGGCAAATACCTGAAAAATTAACAAGAACAAACAAAAGAAAATCACTCTGCTACTGGAACAAGTATACGAGCAATCACGTGTTGGACTGAACTCTAATATTCTCACCTCGATAAGGAATTTGTCAACAGTCAGCTTGTTCAGTGTTAGGGTTCCCGTCTTGTCACTGCACAAAACATCCATGCCAGCCATCTCCTCTATAGCCGTCATCCTTTTCGTAATGGCGCCCTGTATAGACAAATTGATCAAACAAGCATTCACATAGCAGAAAGGCCAAACTACCATAGCTCAAAACTTCAAGAGCCGCTGAATATTAACAAACCTGTTGAGCAAGACGATGAGAACCGATTGCCATCGTGACTGAGAGAACAGTTGGCATGGCAATTGGAATCCCACCAATCAGAAGAACAAGAAGATTGTCTATCCCGGGACGATATTTGCGGTGTTGGATAGGGTACATCACAATAATCTCAATTATCATCCCCACAGCAATTGAACAGATGCAGAAGTTTCCTATAGCAGTCAAAACCTGACGAACACCATAAATATCGTTTTGCAATGTAAGATTTCATTAGTCAGATAATCAAGATCGTTTGCAATAAATATCAGAGTAAAGACTCTACTTGCCTTCTGAAAGTGTCCCACTTGGTTTGTACTGTCTACAAGGTGAGCTGCCTTCCCAAAAAAGGTATGAACCCCTGTAGCAATGACTACAGCTTCTATCTCTCCCTGCTTACACGTGGAACCAGAGTATACACCATCTCCAGGACCTTTTGTTACAGGAAGAGATTCACCAGTCAAAGCAGACTGCAAGTTGAGAGACAAGTACAGTGAAACTGCCAGGAAAACAGTAGAATGAATGCAGATACTCTATAAAATCATTAAATTTAATCACCTGATCAATTTTGAGCGGATCACCCTCAAGAAGGCGAGCATCAGCTGGAATGATATCTCCCAGTTTAATACTGATTATGTCCCCAGGCACAAGAACAGCAGCATCTTCCTCCTTCCATTTTCCATCTCGAAGGACCTCCACAAAGACAAGTGCAATCATTCAGACAATTGAGGACAAAACTCTAACTAGATATATTCATCTATTTATGTTTGAAAGACAACAAGGTCTATTTGCAGTCAAATGGTGACAGGAGATAGAAATCATGTCAAGTACCTTTGCTTTCGGAGCAAGTCGAGCCATCAGGGCAGCTGCTGCATTGCCAGCGTTGTTCTCCTCAATAAAACTAATTGTGGAGTTGATTATAAGCAATGTAATGATACCCACAAAATCCTGCCAGTCCGGAGGCTTTCCCTAGAAGAAGAGTCCACATATCTTGCACTGAGTTCACTAGAACCAACATAAAAAATGAACAGAATAGTAGTAATTCAGAAAGCTGAGTTCTTACTCCTCCATTGGCAAGAGCAATAGCCATGATAGCAGCAGCCTCCATAACCCATGAGAGAGGATTCCACATAAACCCCAAAAATTTCAAGAATTTGCTCTCCTGTAATCACACCAGTTAACAATTACTCTCTACTTTTTACCCAGCACTTCGTAAATCATGAACAGGTTAAGCCTTTATTATAGTCCAGCTTTGATAGGTAACAAAAACCGTAAATTTAAACCCTTCTTTTACTTAAGGAACTAAAGCTATCAATGATCAAAACTGACAGTTGGAGAAATAATTAAAGAAAAGGGAAAGGTTGGAGCAGAATTACAGTTGAAAATAGCCCAGAAGAAGAAAATTTAACAAAGATAAAATTAAGACACCTTCTTCTCCTCGAGCTTGTTGTACCCAAAAATGGACAACCTCTCTTGTGCAGCAGTAGCAGTAAGTCCCTCCTTAGTACATCTCAAATTCTCAAAAACTTCCTCAATAGGTATGTTTTCCTGCAAACATAACAGCCGAAACAAAAACAAAACAAAACAAAAAAAACTGTCAAGAAGAAGAAAATAGAAAGTCCCAACTACAAATAAAAAAATCATTCGAACATCCATTACCAAATCAACAGTCTCTTTCAAGACAGCATCCAACACTTCAGGCTTCTCTCCCATCTTTCTTTAAACTTGTTCTCTCGCCGTTGTCTGTCTCGGATCAAAAGCACAATCACTAGAATTCTCTAAAGCAACACAATTTTGGTGAAGAAAAGAGTGGAGTTTGTTGAGTAAAGAAGTAGGATTTTGTAAGCAGACAAAGGGTCACACACACCCCACTCACAAGTCACACCAAGTCTACAAGGGAAATGGAAGAGTAGAGAACAGTTACAGATGCTAGTTCTAGTCCTTTGGATTGTCTGTTCACGCTAAAATTAAGAAAGCCACCTCCATAATACTTGTAACGTATTTGACCAAGATTTTACTTTTTAACACCAAAAATAATTATTTTTTTTCAAATTTAAATGGTTTGGCCAAGCTTTTATGAGATAAAAAAATATTTATCAGCAGAAGCAGAAGCAATTTTGGAGAAATAGAAAAAAATAGTTTGTTCCTAAAATTCAGAAGCACTTTTGAAAAAAATACATTTAGAACTACTTTTAAAAAGTTTGGTCAACCACTAATTGCAGCTTAGAAGTACTTTTTAAATTAATTAGTCAAACACAAATTGCTTCTCGCCAAAATACTTTTCAAAAAAATTCTTTTCTCCCGTTTGGCCAAACGGTCTATTATATTGCCAAACAAACAATTTCTATTTCCTTTTTTATTTTTGTTTTCTTTAATCTATGAAGCTAAAGTGCTAAACTTCGACACTACTTTTATTACCAAACTTTATGATCTTTCCATATCTCCTTTTATGTTACATCATCTTGACTTGGAGGTTTAGCATATTCATTTTAACTGTTGTGATATATGAATTATATGTAAAGATACTGAATTAATGATTATAATTTCATTTGACCAAAAAAATCCGATCAAAGTTTAGCTAGTGGAAAACTTCATTTAATTATATTAGGAAGCATAGTTAATGGAATGATATTTGAAATTTTGAAGTGTTTGAAAAATATTTTTTTTTTTTAAAGTATTACATTAGTGAATGAAAATAAATTTTGGCTAAAGATAAAATATTGAATGTTTAAATAAATGAATATTATTGTTAAGAGTTTCTTAAATCTATTTAAATAATATTATTACTAGTAAAATAGTGCAATATTTTAAAAGTAAAAACTATTTTAAAAATCAAAATACGGGAGTAATTTTTATTTGTTTTCTTCTTTTCCTTTTATTTGAACTCTACTACTAAAAGTTAAGAGTAAACAAGATAAAGAATAAGATTCTTCCTCCTGATTCGCTAAACTCCTTCTTAAGAAATAAGACTACATCGACTGTGAAAGTGACTAATACAAAAGCAAATTATTTACCAGTTAAGTTAAATTTATATGTAGTTCTAAAGATATGTAGTGTAACTTAATACAAATCGTGGAAATAAATAGAAATACCCAATATGGGTCACAAAGAATGCTAAATATATAAGGTTGCAAAGAAAATGAAATTTAGGACTAAACAAGTGGAATCAATTTAAGAAGCTTGAAAGAACAACTAAACAAGTGGAATCAATTTAAGAAACTTGAAAGAACAACTCTTCATTACGGAGAATATGATATTTTGTTTACAATGTAAGCATAAAACTTGCCCTTTATAGAAATGATAACCAACTCTTTTATAGTAGAGGGATCTTACTTTAGATATAATTAAAAATACATAGTGGGAGACCCATAATAAATTAATTTTTTCACAATACCTGCCGAGATTCTCTCCTCTAGTGGGACTCTTGTCTATGAGCTCGATATTGACTTGAGTTTTCGGTCTTGACTCGAGCTCTGATCGATTTGCGAAGTATGAGCAATAACGAATACATTTATATTTACGTTTAATACTTAATTATAACTTTTAATCGTGTAATATATAACCTACTTAGATTTTGACTATGTTTCTTTTATTTTTTTGGTTCTCATCCTGAAGGAATTCACAAATCTCTCTTACTCTGCCTCTTTCTTATGCAGTCAAAAGTTTATGTACTCGACAATAATAATTTCCAGTACACGAAATTTCGACAAGGTCACATGGCATTGCCTAATACCTTTTCTTTAGCCTAATACTTACTTACTTAGTAGTAAACCAAATTATACTATAAGCTTCCTAATATTTTGGGAAATAAGAAAAGCAACTCTATCCTTATTGTCAAATCACAGAGTGACTCAACATTCTTTATAATATAAATATTTTTTTATTTATATTTAAAGGTACCATGATTTTGTAGTCCCCTGCTTTTTATTGGCAAATGGGAAAATGGGCCAAACAGAGGTTGAATCTTGTCACATTGAGAATTAAAAGACAAACTTATTCTCGAGCAAATAAGTACAGTTTGACATCTTCTAGTTTCCTGAGTCCTCACCAAACAACCAACAAAATCAATTAGCATGGCATTTTCCTAAGATTTTGTCGCCTCCGGAGTCAGGGCGGTTCAACGAAATTGGTGGCCTAAAGTCAAATTGTATTAAGAGACCTATTTCACAAAATTCATGTAACAGTGAAACACAAAAGATCTTATGTTCTAATCAATGGGTCAGTGAGAAAGTAGCTAAATCAAAAAAATAGAATTTGAAATTGGAATGAGAAATCTCAAAGTCATGTGAAAGAAAAGAGAAAAAATTAGAACGGAAAAAGAAAATAAATATACTACTAACAAGACAGAGATTTATCGCTCTTTACTCACTCATACGTGTATTCTTAACCAAATAAATAAATATTAAAATTTAGACTATTAAGAATAATCACATAAGATATATATAATACATAATAATATAGTATAATATTTTTGAGACCCTCCTGAATTTGAGGCCTAGGCAATGGTTTGAACAGCCTTACCCTCCGGCCGGCCCTGTCGGGAGTATATGCCAGAAGCCCAGAACATAAATGTGGTGAAGAATAGCGTTATTTGTTTTCTCCTTGGGGATATTTCTTTCAAGATATGCACCAATCCGACCCTCGAGGCTGACGACGTGAAGTCGAATTTAAATTTTATAATGGTAAATTATATTATTTATAAAATAAACAATATTTTTTGTAGTAATTAACACGAAATCTACATTGATAATGCCAAAAGTTATACGTAATTAGTATATAACTTAAATCCAAGTTTAAAATTTAGGTGTCCTTTTTGTTCTCTTTTTTTCAGCAAGTTTATTTCTCGATATTGATGCTCTATACTGTTTACACACGCACAAAAAATAGAAAATAATTATCATGATTCGATTAGAAAACAAAATATTAAACACCAAAAAGGAGTATTATACTTGAAACATAATAAATCGTTATGAGTTACTAACAAAAGAACTGTTTTAGTCAGTCACAATAATGAATCGTATAATTATGGACAGAATAAAAGGTGCATGCATACTTAAATGTTCTTTTCCTAGACATGCTTATCTAACTTTATGCTAAAAGCTAACTACATATCTGCAAAATTGATTCTCAACAGATTACTCCATGTATACAGACTACAGTAGTTTCTATTTACTTTCACTCTTTATCCCTTTTCTTGCCTTTTGAGGTAGAAAAGTTGGCTTTGAGCTTATTTACAAGGGGCATGAAAAAGTCATGAGATTTATGCTAACTTTGGTTTCCTCAATTCCTGTTCTTGTTCCACTATACTATTTTTTTCACTCTTTCTTTTCTCCTTTTCTGCTTTCCACATCTTGTCCGTACATTACCTACCAGTGACCTTTGTGTGTTCTCTTTTCTTTAATCATGTCTTACCTACTATTTATGGTTGTATTACCAAACTCCTAATCTTAAACCAGGTTTCCTTAATTTATTGGTTAAAGCTGATGTAAGCCATGTAACTAAAGATGAGAGAAAGTTTGTTGAATTCTTTTTGAAGGCTACATCTATAAGAATTATATATTGGTACAATATTTTACGTTTCCAGAATTATTTTTTCTCCTTTGATGTTAGCATATGTTCTTGACTTGACAGTGAACTTGAATTTTGTATAGAGGCGTAGTTAGTTTATGAGTTCTAGATCACAATTCTTTTTACTTATTGGGTTCTGCATGCATCGATTATTTATATATACTAAGTGAATATTTTAACACAACTATATAATTTAAGTTAAAGATTATTGTTTACCCGAAAAACGGATAACAATTGAATTTATACGCGGCTCTAAGGATACGTGATATAACTTGGCACAAATTGAAAAAATATAAATATTAATATAGAAATCAACTGTAAAAGAAATAAATACAAACCAAGTGAATCAATTAGCCTTGGCCCTCAAGTTCGATCACCCTAGAACCAAGTGAAGATTCCGCTACTATATGAACAGAGTGGCAAAATATTGAAAGCCTAGAGAAGATAGTATATAGCTTTGTATTGCGTGGATGTTCCCCTCTACAAATGATAAGATCCCTCCTCCCCCTATATAGTAGGGAAGTCCTACTCTCAATATAATTGTAAATACAGTAAGGAATCTCATGATAGATTAATTAATTGGCCTCTCCTTGATATGCGCCGGGATTTCCGCCGAGATTCTCGCCCAATTGCGGATATTTCGGCTTTCTATTTTTTTGGCTCGATAAGCTTTCCTCGATCTTGACCGGTCTCTATTTTGCTCGATCTGGATCTTAGCCGATCTCGATGTTGATCGGTCTCTATTTTGCTCGATCTCGATTTTGACCGATCTCGATCTTGATCGGTCTCTATTTTGCTCGATCTCGATCTTGGCCGATCATGATCTTGATCGGTCTCTAGTTCACGAACCCGGCAACCTAACTTTGCATCAGGGCTCGATATCACACGAGGTTGAACCTTGGTCTATCATGTTCCAGTCTCGATTAGTCATATGAAAGGCAAGCTCGGCTTTGACCGTATACAGATAGTCCTGTCATTTCTCGGAAAGAAGATGACGAGAAACGATATGAATTTCCGGACTCCAACTCGATGGGTAATGACGTCAGCGATGAGTCCGATTATGACGTATGCGATGAAACATCCCGTCGGTCCAGTTACTAAGGTATTAAATGCATGTCAGTCGTTGGTCGGCCATTACCGGTTCCGAACTGTCGCCAGTAACCTATAATAACCTTATTTTTTCTCATTCAAACTTTACACTCAAAGCTCTTTCTACTCTTACTTCTTCTTCAAAAAATCCCTTTGCTTCATAATTTTCACACCCAAAATTTCTAGAACCCTAATCAAACCACATACCATCCTAATTCTCTTTTCCCTTGTTTATCAATGGCGAAACTTTCAAAACCGTGCCGCAAAAAGAGGCCGCTTCTTCATCACGACCCGCCGGTAG